CTATCAAGAGAAAAATATCAAATATCAAATGTACACTGAACCCCCCCCCCCTTGTCATTTGCGAAAAATCCTGACGAGAAACTAGTAACTACGCTTCAACTTTTCTTGGCCTAAAAATCAGGGGAATTCCTTTAAACAAAGCAAAAGTAATACCCTCCTCTAGCTGTGTGGATATGGAAGTGATCGCACAAATGTGTCATTTAATTTCACCAAATGACAAGCGATTTTGGAACGTCTCCAGAGTTAGAGGCATTAGAAATACAAGGAGGTGCTTCTTCACTAGTCTTTGCAGAAGATGGTGAGAAGTCTCAAATTTTAACGCCCGGTGAAGGACGTTTTTTAAGTTGCTCATTTGGATTCATCATAGAGATCCTATAAATGGGATAGCTCTAGCTACACAAGCAGCTAATATGTCCATGATTTTGCCAAAGAGCTGGCTATTTCTGAAGCCGTAGTTTTCTTGGGATAATACATGTCTGTAGCTCAAGCGAAGATCCCATTTTCTTGTGTGCAATGTAGCCCTCTGGCATGTAGTTGTGGTCAGGTTAATTTCTCTGAATCAGAACCAAACAGGCAACATATTTCAAACACTTCAGAGACATCCCTGGTCCAATGATGACAGGCCTTCGATGTCCTGATGAGAACCCATCACACATACTGGCTACGTATTGCTGCACCAGGGAAAAAAAAAAAGGGGGGCTCGGGGCAAATTCGCCCCCGAAATGCCAAAAAGAGCCCCCCAAAATGTGCATAGAGTTTAATGCAAAACAAATTAAAAAGTGTTATTTTCATGCATGAAAAGTATTAGTATTATTTTCCCTGTGCTGCACTACCCGGCATAGATGGATTTGGGGGTCTCAATTAAGACTATACATGAGAGGCAGACACTCACTTCCTCTAATGCTGTTGCTAGAGGAACCCTAGAACTAGGACCTGATCAAAACTAGCCTACATGTAGTCAATGTACCCATGGTCATGTACTGCTGCTACACTACATCAAAACTGTGTTCGGACTACGTCGTACAGCAATACAAGAATTGTATCTTTAGCTATACGACAAGTAATTAAAATATTTTTAGAGTCTGAAGTACTCTCAACATTGTGTAAAGAAACGTTGCATAACGCAACATCTTTTCGAACCTAAACTCGATAAAGAATCAGCATTCGGTTCTAGTCTGAAAATCGCATCGTACAAAAATATTGTACAACTGGGTAGGTCTAAGAAAGACCGAGCACTTATGATTGGCCGGCTGTCATATTAACTCACCTTGTCATAGCTATAGGCTACTCTATGACCCCGTTCTCACTCACTTTGAAAGTGGTCTTAGTTAGACCGCTCCAGACCGCTCCAGAGGAACGGGTCTTGAAGAACGGTTTGCGAGCGTTCACACTCCGAGCAGTTTTTATGGCTCAAACCGCTCCACGAGTCAAAGTGGTCTTGTTGCTATGGCAGCTCAGGTAGGCGGGTCAATTTTTTCGCGCGCGGAATCCAAACCCTTGTCACCTGATGTCCCGTTCGCGACGCGTCCCGTATACATGTATATGTGTAGTGCCTGCCCGATCGCTCATCGCGCGTAACGTCACTTCCGTTCAAAGTACGCTTTCCATTCACATTGCACGTTAGAGCGCTCTGGAGCGCTCTTAATAAGACCCGCTCCTCAAGACCACCTCGGAAAGTGGACTTCTGGAGCGGTCCAGAAGTCCACTTCCTAGACCAATTTGAGCGTTCTCACTCACCTAAGAACCGCTCCTGAGGAGCGAGTCTTAGTTAGAACGCTCCAGAGCGCTCCAACGAAGTGAGTGAGAACGGGGTCTATGTCTGCACGATTCTGATAAAAGCAAAACATGCAACCAACACAAAGACCCCGTTCTCACTCACTTTGAAAGTGGTCTTAGTTAGACCGCTCCAGACCGCTCCAGAGGAACGGGTCTTGAGGAACGGTTTGCGAGCGTTCACACTCCGAGCAGTTTTTATGGCTTAAACCGCTCCACGAGTCAAAGTGGTCTTGTTGCTATGGCAGCTCAGGTAGGCGGGTCAATTTTTTCGCGCGCGGAATCCGAACCCTATGTCACATGATGTCCCGTTTGCGACGCGTCCCGTATACATGTATATGTGTAGTGCCTGCCCGATCGCTCATCGCGCGGAACGTCACTTCCGTTCAAAGTACGCTTTCCGTTCACATTGCACGTTAGAGCGCTCTGGAGCGCTCTTAATAAGACCCGCTCCTCAAGACCACCTCGGAAGGTGGACTTCTGGAGCGGTCCAGAAGTCCGCTTCCTGGACCACTTTGAGCGTTCTCACTCACCTAAGAACCGCTCCTGAGGAGCGGGTCTTAGTTAGAGCGCTACAGAGCGCTCCAACGAAGTGAGTGAGAACGGGGTCATAGTGTACATCTTTATTATAGCGACACATACTATGTATTCATTTAAAAAAAAAAAAACTATTAAGAAATGTCTAATTTCAACATTTTTAATTCCACAGGCCTCAAAATGCTTTCTTTTTTTCCTATAGGAACTCAGTGTTATTTTGCTCTGGTTCATAACATTACGAACCAGAGCAAAATAACAGTGAGATCCTATAGGAAATCTTTTTATTCAGATGGCCATATCTCAGCTAATACTAAACATGTTCAATTGGTTTTCGACATTTGGACATTATTTTTTATGCTCTTTCGGAAAATGAAGAAAAAATTGAGAAATTCTAAAAATAGCTTTTTATGATGTTACAGCTTCGGTACTCTATTGAATTCATCTATAGAGCTCTAAATTCTTATTTTTTTCATCATTTCAGGATGTTTGTATTAAACTCAGATTTGGGAATAAACCCAAATTGGATGGCAATCAACCTGAAAGTTCAAGGGCCTTACTTTATTTATTTACTTTTAAAATTGCATTGGAGGAAAGATGATGCCAAAAAATTCACTTGTAATTATAACATGGCACTTCCCCTATCCTCCAAGTACATTTGGAGGTATATGTAAGTATTTTACACAAATGTAGGTGAAAGGAGATATTTCCACTGCCTACTCTACCAACAATGTTCTAGACAATGTTTCATATTTTGATTTAAACATATTTAAAGGTAGATATTGAAAGAAACGTTGTGGAATCAATCAGAAAAGGTTGATCATCTAGCATATAAGTATTGGTGTGAACTGGAAGGTTCTGGAATCATCAAAATGATAAGAAATTTGGCCCGGTCTTCGTAAAGTTACAAGCACTGTACACAGAAAGATGTATATGGGACTACGCACACCTACGCACACAGGCTTAAAGGTAGAGACCAGTTTCGGAAACGTCCCCCTCTCAAAAAATGAAATGGAAGCTCTTATTACCGATCATGTGAAAGAATATGTTTTGACTAATACATGATGATACAAATTTTGCCGGGAAACCGCCTACTAATTGATATATTTGGTAAATTATTATATCTTTCTGGACTGTATAGATATAGGGTAGTCCCATGTAGACATCTTTCTGTGTACAGTGCTTGTAACTTTACCAAGACTGGGCCAAATTTCTTATCATTTTGATGATTCCAGAACCTTGCAGTACACACCAATACTTATTATATGCTAGATGATCAACCTTTTCTGACCGATTCCACAACGTTTCTTTCACAATGCAATCGCATGACCATAACTTAAAGATATTGTGATACCCCAGGGGGGTGTTTCACAAAGATCCTAAGTAGAACTTAACTCTAAGTTTGACTTAAAAATTATGGACAGCCATTGTAGTCTTTAAATGAAATATATTCAAAAACAGAAATTCAAGTATTTTAGAATTTTTATAAATTCCACATCAAGAACATGAAATCTCCCATGATAATAGAAAATACGAATGATTTGAATCAACATTTTATGCCTTTTAAAGCGTATCTGCCATAGTTTACAGGAGGGATTAGACTGCCCTGCAAGGTCACTGGACAGGTGGTTATCTCATCAACTCAGCTCTCAGTTAACATAAGAAAAAGAGGATCATGGGGGATCAATGGTCACCGATTAGGCATGGTTTGTTATATAGAGGGCGCAAGTAGATACAAGTAGTGTAGTGGGCCTTTAAAATAACTTTTACAAAATATTTTCAAGGATGCTAATGGCTTTCCATAACTTTTAAGTTCAACTTAGGATCTTTGTGAAACACCCCCCTGGATTGGCACGTTTACAGCACTGTTTTCTTTTTGCTCAGGTGGTGAACAGGCTTTAGTTTGTCAAAGGGCGCGTTTATCAGGGCTTGCCACTAGATATGTACATATCGTACCCCACTATCAAACCCCACTATCGAACCCCACTATACGATCGTGATTTGCGGGATGTCGCGTTTATCGTCCCTTCACGATTCAAAGTAAAGGCCTTGTGTCTGCCCAGCTGTTTTGACCCGGGAAGCAGACAGTTTCTCGGAGGTCAACTTCACATACATGCTTGTACACAACATCTGGGTGGTCCTATTTGTACGTGAGGTTCAAAACAGCTTTGCGTTTATCGATCTCTCAGAAACATGATTCTGGCTGTATGTCACATTCAAAACACACCTTTTTGCGTCTTTAGATATGCCCATATCTAAAGACGTTTTAAAAAGGCTTTGCATTTATCACCTTCTAAATTTGCCTGAAAGACGTTTGAGAAACCTGATTCTAGCCAAAAATCTGGTCGATAAACGCAACCTTTGACACATATAAGGTTGAGGTACTGTAGGGTTATAAGTGGGCTTTAGGTTACAAATCAAATCCAAGTACATGTACATTGATGATACTCCCCAAATCATGGATTTAATTCTCCTTTTGTAATACCAGTAGGCCTACTTGTACTTGATGAATTTAAACTGAAAATTGTATTTATTCTTCTTTTATGTGCATCGAATATTGATGATAATGCAAACTTGTGGATTTTTTTCGATAAATTTAACTTTGTTTTGTAGAAGGCCAGTACCAATCTAGGCCCACCAAATTTCCACTTTTCTAAGTAACAGGATTCCGTCAGTAAACTTCTTAGCCTTACCTGCGCCTGGTACAGCCATCTTGAGGTTCTGTTGTCTCTATGGCTACAGCTGAAAAATCAAACAGAGAAATGGTAAAAGGTTAGGATAACTAGTCAATTAGTTATGAACATTATACCATTATCATTGGCATGGTGTGCGTCCATTCACTGAGGGGAAAGGGGAGGGGGAGGGGGAAAGGGGGAAAGGGGGAGGCAGGAAGGAGAGGGGGAAGGGAAAGATGAAGGGGAAGGGGAAGGGGAAGGGGAAGGGGGAAGGGGGAAGGGGGAAGGGGAAGGGGGAAGGGGAGGGGAGGGAAGGGGAGGAGAGGAGAGGGGAGGGGAGGGAAGGGGAGGGGGAAGGGGGAAGGGGGAAGGGAGAGGGGGAGGGGAGGGGAAGGGTGGAGGCTGTTGTTATTAGGATGCACCTGTCGTATGAAAATGATAACATGTATTACAGAGAACAAGACAATCTGGTAGGAGGAGAGTATGGAGGGGGGTTGAGCGGGAGGGATTCGGTTGCATCATTTTCTTTTCACTTTGGGTTACCCACTCCTGCCTTTGCAAAATGATAATCTGCCAGCCCATTTATCAAATTGCTTTGTCTTGTTTTATTCAGTTTCACAACATGATCGATATAAACATTCATAGTCAAATCAAGTTATCATGCTCTTGTGGTTCAGCTCCATGACTCTGTGGCTAGCCAACAATACATCAATGTCATATTTGTAACAAAACGTTTCCTTTGACAGATTTATCCGCTGTAATTTATATGTATACATTACATATACAGGGCTGTATAATCCAAGCTCATAAATTATGTAGTTAATGCCACATAATGTTGTTCTATATCATCAGTTTGGTTACAGCTCCTTTAAGAAAGGTTCTGAATAAACCTGTTTAGTGTACTACCGGTAATAATATATTTCATATTATGAGTTATTCTCCTCCTAAAAACACCCTTGGTTATTTTTTAGTTTTATCAGCGATTAAATTCACTGGTTATGAATGGCATCTCTAATGTCTATGGATAGAATCCATTTTTCATAAACTAGTTATCACTATGTTGGCAAGCCAATGGCAAGCTATTTAAATATAAAAAAGAGAAATGAAAAACTTTTTTCCTCAAAAAGAATGCACAAAATGAGTAAACAGGTCTATTCTGAAATTTGTCAATCAAAATATTCTTAAATTTTGAATTAATTCAATAAATTTGAGGAAAAAAGTACAAGCTGGGTTTATTATTCCTTAAATACAAAGAGAGGGAAATAGAGAGAGGGGGGGGGGGGTGGATCATGTGAAAAGATAGGACAACCCATTCCTACATGTACGTACATGTATACACCCCTTCTCTTATTTATGATTAATTCATATTTGTTGTGACTTGAGTAAGACTGTTGCTGCAGCCCTAATATTCATAAATGAATGATACACACCAATAAAAAATAAAAAAACGTAACGTTACTTCATAAATGAATGATACACACAAATAATAATAAAACAACATTATTCATAATTGAATGAAACTCGCCTAAAACTAAAACAAAAACCAAGCGTGTAGCCAGGATTTCATTTTAGGAGGGGCGGAAGTGAGCACGCAAAGCGTGCGAATCACTTAAAGAGCGCGCTTAGCGCGCTCCCTAGGGGGGTGGGTGCAGGGAGGGGGAGTTTCCCCCCTCCTGCGCAAAGCGCGGAAGCATTGAAAGAAGACGATTCGTTGTACCTTTCTCGACTCATAATCCTTGTCTGAATTCAGTCCGCCCCTCCTGCGCATAGCACGAAAGCCTTGACGTATTATTAGACAAAGAAGACGATTCGTTGTATCTTTCCCCACCCTTAATCCTTATCTGTTTTCAGTCCCCCTCTTTCGAAGCACGGAAACTTTGGAGTTTCATTAAATTATTAGAGAAAGAAGATGACTCGAAGTACCGTTCTCGACTCTTAATCCTTGTCTGAATTCAGCCCCCCACCCCCTCCTCCTGCGCGAAGCGTGGAAGCTTTGACGTATTATTAGACAAAGAAGACGATTCGTTGTACATTTCCCGACCCTTAATCCTTATCTGTATTCAGTCCCCCTCTTTCGAAGCGCGGAAGCTTTGACGTTTCATTAAATTATTAGAGAAAGAAGACGATTCGTTGTTCCGTTCTCGACTCTTAATCCTTAATTTGAACTCAATTTCCCCCTTTCTTCCTACGTCCTCTTCCTTTTTTCCTTCTCTTTTTTTGGCCGGCGTTTTGGGGGGGCGACCGCCCCCACCACCCCCCCCCCCCCCCCCCCCCTGGCTACGCGCCTGCAACCCTTCCCCTAGCCTAGCTCCCCGGCCCATGATGCCAGTGATCCCTCAATGCATTGAACCATATGCTACCCCATTATATCAATAGACCCCAAAATTATTGGCAGGGGTGGGGGTTATAAGGGGACGATAGGTCTCTTTAATTGTTAAAGAAGTATATTTCTTTGACTGATGGTTTTTAACATGTCATTTCTTATTCAAAGCTTCAAACACCATTAAATTAACTAAATTCCAACTTATACACATTTGACCAACTGCATACTCAACAATCAAAACAATTCAAGTTATGCTGCCACTTGTCTTGGCCTTCAATTAACATTCTTGGCATCGGTCAGCAACTTTGAATTGAATGAAGTGAATCATGAATCATTGTAGAATAAAATTCACTTCAACCAGATGTTGGCATTTCAATCAAAATTACATTTTCAGCTCTAACACTAACAGTTCTTATTAAGTCTCAAAGTTAACATCATGCTAAACAACAACTAAACAAAAAACACGGTAAAAATTGTCAAAATGATGCAAACCGAACTCACTTGAACGTGTGTTTGTTGTGCACGACACACAGTAGTTTACCGGATACTAAACTTTATGAAGAAGTCTGAGCAGGGTCCATGATATTCCGGTGTTTTAATTTCTGCAACTTTACGATTAAAATTCCATTATGGGAGCTATCCTCCATTTTCTTGCACAGATCTACAATCGAAAGCAACAGTTCGTCACATTATATCATTTTATCCAGTTTGAAAACACGCAAAATGGCGATGAAATCCTTCGCATTTCCGAGAGAGATAACTAGTTTTTAACTTCCTAAAACTCGGCGGAACTCCGGCTGCATTTAATGTACACATGCACAGTATATACGGGTTGCGTACAATACAGGAGTGCACGAATCGTGTTTTGAGTCACAGCTCAAATTTTGACTACTTGCTTCCTGGTTCAGTTCGGGGTCAAATATTGGGGTCAAATCGGCACGGAAAAACATAATTTATGCAAAGATTTGAGTCATTGTTAACCTTTTTAAAGACCACAGCCTTCTAACACGTGTCCCTAAGAAACTTGTAAAGATACACTTTGAAGTAAGAAGGAGTTGGTTTAGAGTCAACAGGTCTCTCATTAATTTATAAAGATGGTATGCAACTTGCTTCTGTAGCTGTAGTATACCAGTAGCGCCATTCAATCGGCGGTCTAAAACGGGATTTCCCCTAAATGCGCTGAAGCTTTGTAAATAAAGAAAAGCACCAATCTCGTACACACCATAGATGAATATGCCCTATTGCTTTGTGGTATTGGTCGAATTCTGAAAAGCAATTTATGAAACCATGTTACCAATAAATTCAGTGGAAAATTCTGATTGATCTTTGACCACTGTTTGGTTTCGGTGAGCGGCGATTTCTTGTCATGAACCACATGCAGCGGGGTGAAGGGGGGGGGGGCATTCAAGAAAGCTTAGTGACCAAGCTATAAATTATTTGTAAAGGTAGCCCTACTCCCCCCTCCTCGAATATGATTTTTTTTTTTTTTAATTGTACTGTAAGTGTAAAACTCTGCATTAAATATGAACTTTGTATCGAAAATAATACCGCTAGTGAACTTTGCAGTTTGGAAATATATATCTGTCAGCACATTGATTAGACATAAAACCTTCTGATTTTTGGTTTGTTGTTTAACGTGGTAAGGCAGCATCAAATCAATCCTCATTTAGGGGGACGACCGGCGCTTGAACATTTCCATGGATCACCTGAGGACTGAGTAGAGGGTGAAAACTTGGTCAAATATATGAAGCACATAATCGACCTGGAAAAAATGACTAAAATAAAATCAAGCATTTTATAGGCCTACATACCAAACTGTCAAGTCTATGCGTTTTGTTTTGTTCAAGTTCTCTACAAAGTTCCTTATTAGGCTACCGTTGTCGGTTGTCTAGCCCATTTTCTAGTGGTAATCCTGTATCCCTGTATTATCAAGATAAAATAATGTTTCTTCCAGTACTCTTAAGTGATCAATGTATATTTTGATGAATTAAATCCAATGCAGAATATCTTATTAGAATGTTTTGATACCGGAAATTGCAACTATAAAGATAAACAGTGTCAGTGCAAGATGATGATTGTCAATAGATGGCGCTCATGTGTTTTTCAATGTAGAGTCCTTTTACACATTTATAAACAGAAGACTTTACTCCATGCACTGTCGAATCGATTATCCTGTACAGTTTCTCTATCTGTCCGATTTCTGTTTTAATTTGTTGATCAATTACAAGTGTGATATGTCCGTAATCAGAGGTGGCCCTCCCGGGGGGGGGGCAGGGGGGGCACAGTGCCCCCCACTTTTTCAGATACCCCAAAAGTGCCCCTTTTTAGATAGGAAAAGTGCCCCTTTTATTTTGTAAGAAGTGCCCCTTTTACATAGGAAAGGTGCCCCTTTTACTTTGACAAGTGCCCCTATTACTTAGTAAAAGTGCCCCTTCCCCCTTTTCACCTCTGACGAGTGCCCTTTTTATTTTTGACACGTGCCCTTTTTCCTTCGACATGTTCCCATTTTCCTTTGCAATAAGTGTCCATTTTCCATTCTCATCAATCTTGAAATTATCTTGAATAAGTGCCCTTTTTAATCTCTAGTAAGTGCCTCTTTTCAGGTACGAGAAGTGCCCCTTTTTCACTTTTAATAAGTGCCCCCTTCACCTCTGATTATTGCCTTATTCAAAACTGAGAGGTGCTCCTTTTACTTTGACAACTTCCCCTTTTTTCCTTTGTAAGAAGTGCCCCTTCTCCTTTTAATAACTACCCCTTTTTTAAACTCGGATGAGCGCACCTTTCATTTTAACATGTGCCCCTCTTATTTTCGAATAAGTGCCCCTTTTCCTTATGATAAGTGCCCCCATTAAAAAGAGAGAACTCCTTCCCCTTCTCACAACTACCCCTTTCCCTTTCTAATAAGTGTCCCTTTTCCTTATGATAAGTGCCCCCATTAAAAAGAAAGAGCTCCTTCCCCTTCTCATAACTGCCCCTTTTAAAAATCTGAACAGTGCCCCCTTTTCATTCACCAAATGCACATTTTCCTTTATTATAAGTGCCCCTTTTACATTTTCATAAGTGCCTCTTTTCATATCTGGTCAGTGCCCCTTTCAACTCTGATAATTCCCCTTTTAATAATGATACGTGCCCCTTTTCCTTTCTAATAAGGGACCTATCCCCTTTTCACCTCTTATAAATGCCCCTATCAAAATCTGATGGGTGTCCCTTTTCCGTCAACAAATGCCTATTTCCCATTTTCGTTAACGCCTCTTTTTCATCATTGGTGAGTGCCTCTTTTCAGGTGAAAAAAATGCCTCATTTTCACCTCTTATAATTATCCTTTGTACTTTGACACGTGCTCCTTTTCTTTTCTAATAAGTGTCTTATCCCTTTCGATAATTGTCCCCTTTTCATGTAATCATTAAACGTGCCCCTTATTTAAAGCGACTAAGAGCAATTTCCCCCAAAGTTCGCTCGCTGCGCTCGCTCGCATTTAAAGATGATATAATTATGTTACTTATCAAAGGTCTTTTCAGTCTTCCGTTATGAGAATGTGCTTATAACCCCATCACGATTGGCTTTTTTCCTCTCTATAAGATGTAATTTTTCACACTGCGACCTCACAGATCTTTAAAATTTTTCTCGCTCGCTTCGCTCGCTCGTAAATGCATATTCAGACATCACATCCAACTGTAAAGTATGATGCTTAAACGATATCTTGTATGATGTATGAAGAGAAACAAATATTGAAATCATCCCTGATAATGTAATCACAATGTAGGGGTATATATCAATGTCTAAAAAATTGTATATTTTCGCTTTGAGATTTCCCACTGTAGGTGCCCTTTTTTTTTTCTCCAGAAAGTGCACTTTTTTGTTGGTGCCCCCCCCCCCCCCATTTTGGAAGTCGCTCGGCCGCCCCTGTCCGTAATTTACATTTAATTGAACTAAAAGCACAATTTTCTGAATGAAAAATGAAACGATGAAAAGAAGTTTGTATATCTAAGCAGAATAGTTTTTTTCCGTTGTGGGGGAGGGGGAGGGGAGGGTCTCATATTAGCTCTCCGTTTTATATAATCAATATATTACAGCAGGGTTACTGTGAAATATGATTTCATTATCAAGATAATTATGAAAGTTGAAAAGAAAAGATATAGGATATAGGATAGAACTATTAAAGGGATAGTTGAGTTCTGCTGCAGAGGGCGCTACACAAAATAATTTTTTGTGAGATAATGAAAACTGAGTGTCAAATTTGAAAGAACATAATATTTAAATGACAAAATCATCTTTGTTTGATCAAAATCGGGTCATAGACGGCTGAAATATAACGATTTCTAATACTTGTGTACCACCACAAATTAGATATTTTGAAAAAAATTGAAAAAAAACCGTTGAAAAAAAAACGAAATAACGCCTTTTACGTCGTATTTCAGCCAATGCCTGTGTTGGCTTTTTGTTAGCATTTTCGTGTTGCTTATATTACCTACAGTTAGCCGGCTCATGTATTGTTATTTTTAATTAAATAATTAATTAACGGTCACCGTTTTTTTTTTTAAAGTGGAGCTGAATTGGTATGATCGTCATGATTGGCTAAATTTAACATATTTTGGGGTCTAAAACTACCTTCATAGCAATTTTAGGTTCTAAAAGGGCACTATAAATGTCATAGATAAGAAAAAGGGCAATAACCATGCACTTTGAAGGCATTTGCGGTCTTAAAACAGAACTCAACTATCCCTTTAAGTGGCAGCTCCCCGAACATAGGGAATCTCAAATTTCTAACTCAAAGACGCAATCCCCCTCCCCCCTCCCTCCCCCCCCCCCTAATTTTATTTGGGAAGGTGGACGATGTATTTCATGCATACATGGGAATGATGGGATTCATTCTCGTCACGGGCTGTTGTAATTGAATCCAGTTCGCTCGCATCCGAAAGAGCGCCATCTCATGATCTCGGCCAGTGATTTAAATATATAAATAATTTATCCATGCCAAATATAGCAATGATATGTATCTCTTCAAATGACGTTAAACATGTCAGACCTGCGGTGACATTACGCATCTTCTTTAATAAATTCAATTTGGAACAAAAAATTATATTAAGGAAAATTGGCCAATAGCAGGAAAATGATTATAGAAGTACTTGACAACATACATTCTTGAAGCAGGGAGAAAACTCACATCTCCCATCTAAAAGTATCTGAATATTGAAGCTGAAGTAGTTTCTTTAATGTAAAATACATCCTCAATACTATTTCACATATGTTTTGAGAAATGAATACAAATATTATTATACTTGAATCCTCTTGATAATGTATTATGGGGATTTTATTATCTTTTTATTACATCAGAAACATTATTTCGGTTAAAAGGTACGAACTTTTCCTAACATAAATGAAAATCCCAAAATGTAAGGTCATTTTTTTTTCGATTTTTTTTTTTTCAATTAGTCTGCAGTAATATTTTGTGTTGATACTTTCCCTACTATGACGTCACATGATAACAGTGCACTGTCAGTTTAATTTCATCCAGGTGTTAGAATCATGTGGAATTCCCCGTTGATTGATACTCTATATATCTCTGTATCTATCTATATCTATCTTTCTCTCTCCCCTTCTCTCTCTGTCTCTCTCTCTCTCTCCCTCTCGCTCTCTCCATCTCCCTATGTTAGATATTTACTATCCCACCTCCGAATTCAGTAAAAGAGATTTTGTAACATGACATGTATTTCATTAACTTTTTTCAAAGAATAGTAACACGGCTAACAACAAATAATCAAACCTGTTAACAAAAACTGCTTGATTTAAAACCGGGAGAAGCTCCTCATTTTAATGACAATACAGAATTTCTGTCTATCTGTCTGTCTCTCTCTCTCTCTCTCTCTCTCTCTTTCCCTATGGTAGGTATTTACTATCCCGCTTTCGAGTTCAGTACAAGAGATTTTGTAACATGACATGTATTTCATGAACTTTTTGCAAAGAATAGTAACACGGCTAAAAAAAAAAT